CGAAAATAAGTCAAATAAATTGTTCAAAAAGTTAGTATCATGTTACAAAGATTCAGTAAAAAAGTTCATAAGCCATAATTCCATTCCACCAAAAATCTATGGACTACCCAAGATTCATAAGCCAAACACACCCCTCAGACCTGTTGTCTCGTGTGTAATGTCACCCACCTACAACATCTCAGTTTCGTAGCTATAATTTTGAATAACTTGGTTCCAACGTTTCAATATGTGGTGAATAACTCCTCCAAGTTTGTCGAAAAACTTAGAACTCATAAAATTCTAGCTGGATACATTTCTCTTGATGCCACCTCATTGTTCACAAATATTCCAAAAGATTTAGTACCAAATCTGATAGAGAAACATTGGGAAAATATTGAAGCATTCACTTCTATGGAACTTGCGGTTTCTGTCGAATTGATCGCCTCCATCTTCGAGTCAAGTTATTTCTCCTAGAACAACTAATTTTTCAAACAGATTTTTGGTACCGCAATGGGTAACCCGGCTTTGGCTAACATCGTTATATGAACGAGCTCCTCATGACTGTCATACCCAAATTACCCTTTCAACTTCCCTTTTTATATTTATATGTGGATGATATTATCACAGTCGTCAGCCATACCCGACCATAGTGAGGACATAATCTTGAATGTATTTAATAAATTCCATCAGAATCTCCAATTTACCCTTGAAAAAGAGAAAGGGTTAAGACTACTCTTCCTCCATGTAGTTGTCATCGGGGATTTTGATAACTTTACTGGTTGGTTTCAAAAACCAACAGCATAAGGAAGGATTATTTATTTTAATTCAACACATAGTATCACACATATAATAATGCTAATAGTGTTCCAACTCCTAATCATGTTCAATTTTCTAATGTTTTTCAAAATTCCATTGATTCTGGGCTTAAGCGCTAAGTTATCAAAAACCTTACACAAGATAACATTGAGGTAGTTCCTTATACGAACAAGAAAGTAGGTGACTTATTCACTAAAACCAAAGACAAAACCGCTATCTATGATACTTCTTACTTAGTTTATAGAATTGATTGTATTCATTTTGACAGATTGTATATAGGGGAGACTGAGCAAAAGCTCTCAAAAAGATTATATCAACACTAATATGATTGTCGAATTATTAACATAGATGAAAAAAAAAAACAGCATTGGCGACTCATCATTTTGACAGTGATCATCATTTCGATTTCAGCAATCTGTCAGTGTGTATAAGAGAGTATTTTCTGTACGTGTTATTTCAAAGTTCATTTTTATTTCATAACCTACTTATTCCTTCTTTATTGATGCTTCTAGATCTACCTTCATCATTTCTTTTATCCACTATTTTATTGTAATTTGTTTCTATCATGAATCTCTGGATTAGTTACCTAAATTTCATTTATTTACCATGAAAGGGCGGTTTATGATATTCTGCAATCTGCAAACTAATAGCTGACAATTTTGTAACTTGGTGGCTGGGGAAAGGATGTGTAGGGGTAATTTTTTTTAAAATATGAATTTGGATGGAATTACAATGAAATATATACTCGATGGGAAGCTTCAATAAATATCTTGTTGATTAGGTATACCTGCCATATAAGTAATATCAAATTTTACATAATATGAACCAAAGAGAAAAAAGCAAATCCAATTAAAATTAAAACTTAGAAAAAATACTCGCGTATAGAAAAAAAAGAAGTTTTTTTTGCTAAATAAATTATTTAAATTAATCAAAAAAAGATCTCTCCAATGTTTCATTCAAATTATAATTACTTACTGCGCTCTCGCTTTTGTTGTTTGAGTTGTAACGTCCCAATATCCTCGACGTGACGGAGATCTCGCCTTCGCTTGGAGGCTGGAAAAAAAATAACTATAGGAAAAAAATTGTCCTCTAAACATAAGTAATATTATTGAGTGGCTAGTTGACTCCAAAAAAATCGAAAGAAAATATAAATGGCCGTGTAAAGCATAATAAGGCAAATATTATTTTACTTGTATCAAAAGAAAAAACGAACCATGTCTACTGGGTTCAATAATTGCAAAATGTCGTTTGATCAGTTTACTTTTTCATTTTTTGTTATTTATTTTTATGATAGATCTGCTGCCAATTAAATTTATTTTAATGGCCGAAGGGCCCGAAGGTACTTTTAATGTATGTATACTTTTTCTTATTTATAAGAAATTGATAGACGTAAACTTATACAGTATGTTTAGTTTTCCAACTTTAAGTTAAAGTTGATGCAAGTCAAAAATTAGAAACTGTTGATGGCTTTGGAGTTGGAGCTATTTATCCCCATGATCCCTATTTATCTCTAGATGCCTTCGTTAAGTTCCAAAAACATAATGTATGTTTTTAATTTATTTCCAAAACAAAATTGTACATTAATAATAATTATTATTAATCATCTATTATCATTATCATTCAGAAATGAAAAAGAAAACTATTTCATTAAATTGTCGAATAATTTTTATCTTTGTTTTTATTCACCCACGCAACTCCGAGTTTCATGGAAAATGGATTTTAGGATTTATTTTCAGTTAAATTTATTATGGAAATAAGTAATGTTTTAACGAACAAGAAGCAAAAAGCAAATTTCCTAAAAATGAAAATAAAATATTAAAAGTAATTTTCTCCGAAGAGTTATTGTTAATTAATAATTTATATTTCATTTCTCACCATGTGACTACCAAAGGACCCTGCCCAAAGTATGATACGGAGATTGTGTTTATGTCAGAATTCGCTGAATTTTGTATATAATGTAGATTACGCCTTCCCGATTAAAAGTTACCATTGCACCAATCCTGAAAACTGATTCCTTTTTGAGAAAATTAATTTCATAGGTAGCAAGTGAAACGCTTGGATATTGTAATGAACGTACATACAAATAAGCGGATTATTGCGGAACTTATGGGTGGACCTCTGCGGGACGAGCGCAGCGAGTTCCGCAGTCATCTATTCACCAATATACTGTTGAACTCTTCAAATAAGACACTCATCTGACACGTGTAGTTTTTGAACTAATGAGAAAAATTCACAACTGACTGAATCAGGTTGTACTTGAACAACATAATGGTGAATGGATGGCTGGGACCACTCATAAATTCCGCAACAATACACTCGTTTGTACTTGAATAACTTGTCACATTATGTTACTAGTTTGGTAAAGTAACATTAGTAATTCCTGTTAAAAGGCAAATTGACAAAAAGTGGATAATCTTACAAATTCTGACTTCATATAATAAGTTATTGTTCAGGTACAAATAAGTGGATTGTTACGGAACTTATGGGTAGACCTCTGCGGGACGAGCGCAGCGAGTTCCGCAGCCATCTAATCACCAATATACTGTTAAACTGTTCAAGTAAGACATTCACCTGAAACGTGTAATTTTTAAACTAATGAGAATAACGCACATTTGAGTGAGTCAGTGTAGCATCGTAATTAAACAACATATTGATGAATGGATGGCTGCGGAACTCGCTGCGCTCGTCCCGCAGAGGTCTACCCATAAGTTCCGCAACAATTCACTCATTTGTACTTGAATAACTTGTCACATTATGTTACTAGTTTGGTGAAGTAACATTACTAATTCCTGTTGAAAGGCAAATTGAGAAAAAGTGAATAATTATAATCTTACAAATTATGACTTTATTTAATAAGTTTTTGTTCAAGTACAAATAAGTGGATTATTGCGGAACTTATGTGTGGACCTCTGCAGGACGAGCGCAGCGAGTTCCGCAGCCATCTACTCACCAATATACTGTTGAACTATTCAATTAAGACTCTCACCTGAAACTTGTAGTTTTTGAACTAATGATAATAACTGACATTTGAGTGAGTTAGGTTAGTATCGTTCTTGAACAACGTAGGTATTAATGAATAGATGACTGCGGAACTCGCTGCGCTCGTCCCGCAGAGGTTCACCCATAAATTCCGCAACAATCCACTCGTTTATACTTGAGTAACTTGTCACATTATGTTACTAGTTTGGTAAAGTAACATTACTAATTCCTGTTAAAAGGCCAATTAACAAAAAGTGGATAATTTTACAAATTCTGACTTTATACAATAAGTTATTGTTCAAGTACATACAATGTGACACAAATAGATAAGCTTGTGGCGCAGTGGTGTGCTACGTATAGTTATATTTCAGGATTGGTGCAATGGTAACTTTTAATCAGAAAGGCGTGATTTACATTACGTACAAAATTCAGCCAATTCTGACATAAACACAATTTCCGTATACTTTGGGCAGGGTCCTTTATATTAAACATTTATTTGATAATTTGTTTCAAAATTGAATTTGTTTAATCACTGGGCCAAAGTTTATACGTCCCTAACCAAAAGCAGAAAAACAATTTTTTACGACCGCGTCTGTATATTCGTCGAAATGTCGAAACAGTGATAATGTGGGGATTGGCACAATAAAGCTTCGTTATTACCCAAGTTTGATTTATTGTTCCCTTTTCAGGACTATAAATAAAACCCTTTTTGTATAGCAATAAAATACATATGTAATTAAATTTTGGGACAAATACTTTTACCACAAAGAGTAGGTACCTACTTCTTTTTGTTCTTGAGCGTATTATAATCTCTTGTTTTGTGTGAATTTCAAATTTCTATAAAATATATTTATACATATAAATACATAGATTTTCTCTTATGTTTCGAGTGAAACTTGCTCTTCGATCCAGGGCCAAGGTGTAATATAGATTTTTTGATTTTTCTGACTTTTTTAAACTGTTGATGTGTTGATACTGAAAGCTGAAACTATTTCCACTTAGATCATTCAAGGGTTACACGATTCTGTTTGTAAATAACTTTTGCACATTTTTTTTTTTTTGTAGTTGTTTGGAGTCTTGCCTCATAGATTGGCAGGTTGGTAGTATACTGATCAAAGCTTGATCCAAATAATAGAAAAATGAAATATAATATTTTGAAAAATCCATTTATGAAACTTCAGCCAAATTAATCAACGAATAATTCAGACAGAAAGACAGTTACGTACCTGATCGCCCATTCCAGTAATAATAGGCGTATTCCAATAAGCAGCTAATCGAGCGACAGGTTCCAAAGCAAACAGGCAAGAAGGTCCAACAAACGCCAAAACGTCGGATAAAAAGTGCATGTCCGCTGCCAAACCGGGTGCCAATTCGCCACTGCAAGATGGGTAACTGAAAAACAAATATTTACTCAAATTGTAACTTTATCATTCAAGTACAAACAGGCCATAATAAATTGTGAAGTCGTTGAGTCGTGTTTGTTTGCCTAAGGGGATTCAATTAAGAAGTGAGTGTCGTACAATAGGCAAGGCTGTAAACGATCTGGGTTACAGAACAGTGTTGTTTTTGCTTTTATATAGATTTGAAATATGAGCCTAGGCTTTAGGCGATATTGATTTTTTTCACACAAACAAAAGTTTTTTTTTTGGATAGAAAAAAATTCACATTATAAGCGATGCTATGTTTTAAATAGGTACGTCTTCTGAACACAAACAAGGTAATGGTATAAGAAGAATAGATAACACTTGATGAGAAGTTCAGATTATAACAGCAGTCAAAACAAAACAAAAAAATCAGCTAAGAGCAAATTGTGTCTCACATAAATTTCCTAGCAAGTAGTTTCATCTTTTTTATTTGTCCGACAGAAAAAATAAAATATTCAAATGTAACTTTCCAGTTCACTACTTACATTCGTAAGCAGCTGTCTGGAAGTATGGATCTGACTTGAATCTATGGGATCTCAGTATAGTTTATCCCTTTACTTTATTCGGGGTACTAAATATTGTGGATGTTTAAACAAGAAACTTTTCGCTTATTTGGACCTGACGCAAAAATATGTATGTGTAAGTTTAAAAAATATAGGAAGCGATCGGGGTAATTGCTTTATTACGTGTACCTACTAAAGAGAAACAGAAATAAAGCAACTTGAATTTATACCTATATACAGGGTGTCGATTTGAAAACTTCCCACCCCTATTATCTCGGAGTAGAAAAATTTTCGAAAAAATCCCTGAAACACGTCAACCATAATTTGAAGGGGGATGAGTCTTTGTGTACCAAAATGTATGGAATCAAAAACCCTCCAAAATGATGTATCACTCGACCCTCCTTCCCATTTAAAATTTTCTAGGGGGTGGCTCTGGGGTTGAAAGGGGGAGGTAAATTTTGCATAAAAATTCATCCCCCCTCAAATTATAGTTGACGTGTTTCAGGGATTTTTTCGAAAATTTTTCTACTCCGAGATAATAGGGGTGGGCAGTTTTCAAATTGACACCCTATATACATAATAGTTATAGTAGCAAGCATTACAAACTTTTGAAGCAAAACTACTCTAAATTCAATTTAACTCCAAACTTGCCTTAATTGATGCTTTTGCCTTGCCTTGAGACATAAATTTCACATTTCTGTGCTTTCGCATTATGATGAAACCCGAGGCAAAAGTATCGCATAAAAAACAAAATAACCGAAAGTAATGTTTCCTTTTATTGCAAATGAATCGAAAGATGTTTTTTACTTCTGTCGATCGCAGGAAGAGTAGCGCAATGATTTCAAAAGCATAAAATTTATTTGCCTTCAGTGAAAATAATTATTCTCTGAATCGGTACTAAAAATATTTTTTATTGCAAATATTAAACCAGCATTTCCTTATTAAGATAAGCTACTTATAAAATTTGAGCATAAAGCTTCATACCCATAAAACTTTTATGCAAGTAATGAATAGAAGATGAAATTTAAACCAACACTTTATTTAATATTTTGTGACATATAAATTACGATTTATGTTCAAATTATCATCAGGGTACCTACTGTAATGACCCGGTGAAAATACACCCGTAATTTACAAGGAGTTAAAAAAATGCAACGACAGTTAATTTAAATGTAATCGAATAATCAAAAATTGAACATCAGTATCAATATCAATAACTTGAAAGATGATGAAACAAATTAGCATTGACACAAGTTAATTAAAATATTTAAAATGCGTTCAAATATTATTAGTTAGTCATCAAGCGCGTGTCATCAAATTTGAACTCATAAATCATAACCAGGAAAAGAATAAAATCGAGGCAAAAGTAATTAAATTGGTGATTTACGGCCGACACGAGTTATCGGCATCCTTTGACTTATTGATTTATGTCCTCACATTCCTATACCAAATCTATTGACCCCGATAATCCAGTAATCCACGAAATTGCAACATAATTATTCGGTTTTAAACAAATAAATATATTTCTTAAAAAAAAAAAGGTCATTGAATTGACATGACCCGGAATCCATTGTAATTGGAAATAAAAATATGTTTATTTTCTTATTAATAAAATATAATTATTAATAGATAACCATAAATCAGTTGTTTCTTTCAATAGACCCACCCCCTCACTCAATTTTATTTTTCAGTTGCTGCCCAAGAAAATAATTACCATCAAATATGACCGCTCGCAATTTATCATCTAACCTAAATAATAGAGTACTTGGCGCAGATGCTACATTGGTGTCAGGTGTGGGGTGTATTACTTGTACATTGAGAGCAACTGTGAGGTTATTTTAATTGTATTGTGAGAGCATCGGTAGGGTAAAAAAAAATAGTGAACTTAAAGAAACTGTAATTCTATTATTAAATTTAAGTTGAGAACAACCGAGCAACGTAAAAAATGTCCAATCCTCCGAGCTCATTACCGCAAACCTACACCACCTTGCCAAACCTTTTTGTAGGATTAGATTCCATACCTACCTATGATGGAACTACTAGTACCGAAGAATTTTTGAATGTTTTAGAAGAAACCAGTATTTTAACTAACTGGACAGACATACAGAAGGTTTCAGTAGCCCGATTGAAACTAAGATATCGAGCCAAGCAGTACATAGAAGCAGAACCAACCCTAAAAACCACCACAAGCTGGACTCTGCTAAAGGACAATCTAAAAGCTCAGTTTGGCAAGCATTATGTAAAAGGGCCAGCTATGAAACATTTCGTTGAGTGCAAGCAACGGACAGGGTAAGCATGTAGACAGTACCTGACTAGATTGAAGGTGTTGGGACATAGAACTGCTAAATTCACAGGGAATCTGACCACCGATAAATTGTTGGAAGAAAAATTATTAGGAGATATAGCCACCCAGTTCACTCTAGGATTATTGATGCCGATTGAACAGCGAGTACTCTTAGCAACTTTGGATGAGACATTAGAAATAGCTGAGAGGGAAGAATCAATCGAAAATTTTCTGAAGCCCAACAGTCGAGAATGCCGCGGGATTATAAATCGAAAGAAGACAGAAGGCCCAAGTCCTCAGAACCGTTGGAATCAAAAAACGCCGCAATCTAGAAAAATGGTGTGCTACAATTGCAACCAGGAAGGTCACGTGAGAGCAAATTGTCCGAAACTAAGGGACTTGAACAGACAAGGTACCAGAAGTACGCTTGTTTGTTTCACGTGTAACAAGGAGGGGCATTTTGCAAAAAATTGCCGCACGGAAGTCAGCTTTTTCACCCAACAATCGGGAAATAGGCAGACTTTAAGCTCGAACGCAGTTACCCATCAACCCCGAGACTTGACTACCAACGAGGCAAGTTGGGATTAAATGAAGAGAGGTGGGTAGGAATACATACATGCTCCAAGGTGAGAACCCCAGAAAGTTATAATGTAGTAAGGATTAGGGTTAATGATAAGTCGTACCTAGCCTCAATAGATTCTGGAGTTGTAGTATTCCTGGCTAAGCCCGAGATTGTCCTGAGTATCAAGAAAGAAAAATGCGATGTAAATTTGGTGGATATACAGGACAATTTAATTCCTCTAAAAGGTATGGCAAATATCACTGTGATGTTCGACGGAGACATCATTGTCAGATACAATTTTATTGTGGTTAATACAGATTCTTTAAGGGCAGATTAACTATTAGGAATAGATTTTCTGCACCAATATGATATTAAAGTAGATTAACAGAACAATTGTATTGTATGCTTTTGAGAAGAAAATCCAAATGTATGATGAAAATATTGATGCTGAGTATGCGATACAGAAAGGAGAAAAAGAGTTGATGAACAAAGTTAGGAAATTGGAAATAGAGCTTGACTAGCTGAAAATTTTTGTGAAAAATTTTGAGAGGAATGGAAATGGATTTGAAGTGAAAAATGATCTAGGAAAAACAGAAATTGAAAGAGATGAAATATTGATGAGTATGACAGATTTTATGAAGAATGATCTTACGTCAGAAAACTACAACCAACCAACAACTTGGCAAATCAAAAGTCAGAAGTCTGTCATCATCAATTAGGAAACCGGCCGAGTCCAGTGAAATCCATAGATCCATTCCACTTCGACAGGATGAAGTTAGAAGAGGTCCAGTGAAGGACAAGATTTTGTTAAGTGAAGGTTTTCCATCAGAGAAGAACTCTAATAAAAGTCCAGTGAAGGACGAGATTCTGATGAATGAAGGTTTTCCGGTGTCTCTGTGAGAGGTTATAATACTGTTGATGACTGATGAACTGTGCCATGGAACACTACGCGGAACTTCAAGGGCCAAGGCTCAACACATTAAACAATGTGATGAAATTCTCAGGCTTGCCAGTAGCACCAGTTTTGGAGAGGAAGGAGAGTAAACTTCCAGGGAAATTCCAGTAGAATTTTAAGGGTCCATTAGAAAGAAATTTTAATGAAGGTCCAGTAAAAGACATAGAATTCAGAAACCAAGATGGTTTTCTGGTAACTCTGAAAGAGCTGATAATATCGCCGATGAGTCAAGTTGTGTGTCAAGCAAATCTACGCAAAGCTTCGAGAGTTAGGGCTCAGCACATATTTACCGAACAAAGTGAAGAAGCTTTGTCAGGATTGCTAGTGGCACGTGTGTTGTATAAGAAGGACAGTAAAGTTCCAGTGAGGTTATTGAATATAACAGAGAAAGAATTAACTCTAAAGAGTAGATCTGTAATCGCAAGAGCATACGAAGCCGCAATAGAGTATGCCAAGAAGGAAAAAGAAACTTTGTAAACAAGGAGTATTGAACAAAAGGGAGTCAAATAAATTTTTGGAGAAGTTACATTTAGCGATCCCAAATCGGGTGAAGGACAAAGACTCCAGCTTGTTCTTGAGTTCATTGACGTGTTTAAAGCACTAGAATACAAACTGAGTTGTACAACGGAGGTAGTACATAGAATTATTACGGAGGATGTGCAGC